AATACATACTACACGCTATTCACTTTAAATACATACTACACGCTATTCACTTTAAATACATACTACACGCTATTAACATTAAATACATACTACAGGTTATTCACTTTAAATACATACTAAACGCTATTAACTTTAACACATACTACACGCTATTAACATTAAATACATACTACAGGTTATTCACTTTAAATACATACTAAACGCTATTCACTTTAAATACAAACTACACGCTATTCAGTTTAAATACATACTACACGCTATTCGCTTTAATACGTACTACACGGCTATTCACTTTAAATACAATACTACACGCTATTCATTTTAAATACGTACTTCACGCTATTCACTTTAAATACATACTACACGCTACTCATTTTAAATACATACTACACGCTATTCATTTTAATGCATGCTACACGCTATTAACTTTAAATACATACTACACGCTATTCATTTTAATGCATACTACACGCTATTAACTTTAAATACATACTACAGGCTATTCACTTTAAATACATACTACACGCTATTCAGTTTAAATACATACTACACGCTATTCGCTTTAATACGTACTACACGCTATTCACTTTAAATACATACTGCACGCTACTCATTTTAAATACATACTACACGCTATTAACTTTAAATACGTACTACAGGCTATTCAATTTAAATACATACTACACACTATTCATTTTAAATACATACTACACTAACAACCACTACCTAATCTAGGACAAAGTTTTCATGCATTGTATTACTATCGTCGCGATTCACTGATACAATTACTTATGTCGTTGGTTTGCCGTCAGCTTGAATGAAAGCAAAGAATACTTAATGTGTGAACTGATCCACCTATTTTGCAAACATAAAGATATATGACACATACAATAAAATGATTACCTTAATACTTGTTCTTGGGCGGCAGTATAATAACTTCTGTATACGAAGAGAGTTCATGGGAAAATAAGACGGTTGGCGAGATTCTCAGCTGTGATCATTAATTTTATTGGCTGACAATGCTGTCAATGTAGGCGATTGCGGCTGCTCTTGAAATTGTACCCATCTATACTTTAGATCTAAGTTTGTTTTGATTACAGTGCCACGTGGAAACGCTTCCCAAATAAATCGTCCACTCAGTATCGACGCTTTATATCAGTTTAAATGAGCGCGAGACTAATTCAAACTTAGCTTTAAAATGTAGATGGCAATGTTTCATACAAAATTTGTCATTACGTATATTACTGTATACAAATAATTGACACATGGGTGTAATAATAATAATGTTCTTTTTAACAAACGATTAAATTGGAAGATTTTTAAAAATGAGGTAGCGTGGCATCATATCAATTGATATTATCCGGGCTAAAATTAATTATTTTTTTTTTTAAAGTAATTTTTGTTGTCAATGTCAAATGTCTGTATTTGTGCAATTATTTTATTGTTCTCCGGTCTATAATTGGGTTGTTTTGCCTGTCAGCTGCAATTTAATAAAATTATTTAATTTGTTGCTCATTTATTCACGTGCAATTGTTTATTTGCGAAAGATAACTAAACATTACAAAAACCGCGTATTTAATATGATATGATGAAATTAAATACTAAGTATCACATTTATAAGGGAATATGAACATCAAATTAGCACATGCCATTCAACTCGTTAGCTCTGGCTACATTGTAACTTTGCAATGTAGAAGGCGATTGTTGAACACCCGAATGACACACTTCGCACTTGTTTGACCTCTGTATGCAGGTTCATATTACAAATGTCACATTACAGCGATTGGCCGTTGACTACTAATTGTCATCTTGAGCGGCAATTTTATACCAAGTAGAAATCAGCAATATGGCTTAATATGACCCCAACGGACCGTATTTTTGTGAAAGATTGGTATTTTTGTCCTGATTTGTAGGAATCTGTAAAACGCGTTTCACAACTTGTCTCTTATTTAGTTTTATGCGTCAATCAAGATGGCGGCCCCCATATAGTAAATATCGTATTTATTTTATTATCACGTGTGCGCCAGCTGACTGTGATATATACGTCCATCTGAACTTGCCATCAGTGTAAGCGCCCTCACTGCCAGATTCAGGCTTGTAAATTTGCATATACGTTATACTGTAGGTGGAGCAAGCCGTGCCAATTTTCGCCTGTCGTCTGCCTTTACGATGTCAAAACCGCACATAACACA